TAATATAATATAATATAATATAATAATATAACACGTTAAGTAAATATACAATACCAAAAGCAGGTTTTCCAACTTGGTAGTTCAGCATAGCAGAGAAGTTTCACTTTCAGTTTTAGTTTCAGATATCAGCACAGCATGCAGCTTTAGTACAGAACAAGCCACGCCCAGGCTCCTTGCTGTCTCTTTCCTTGTTGCTCACACAGCAAATAGTGTTTGTTTCCAACTCTCTCACACACTGACAGGACGCTAGCCAGATGAATACCATGGACACTGGTAGGCAGAGGCAGAATATTTTTTTTCTTATTTTCCTCCTCAAATACTAAAGTGCATCTTATACTCTGGTGCGTCTTATAGTCTGAAAATACGGTAAACCCTTCCATCCCTCACCATTCAGAACTAAAGAAGCTCCTTGGATGAGAAGCAAAACGCCTTCACAGAAAAGACGAAGATAGTCCAGTTGCCTTTTGAAATGGGACAACCATGGTTTGGATGACTGAGAATCTCCAGAGACACTAACTCCATAATTTTACAGAGGGCACCTTCTCCTACCTCTCAACACCACACAATACGATATTTTTTTTACTGAGCTCTCTAGTTCAAGACTCACTGCAACTAAAAATGCATTGGCACCAAACTCATTTTAGCTGAACAAACTTTCAAGAGAAGTTCCTTGGATACAAACTGACTGCTTTGTCATCGTCAGTTAGCTTCTTCTAAACACCTTCTTCGGTGATCTTCCGCCCACTGAAAGCACAGCACAGGGAGTTGATTGGAGACCTTTCCCATCATAAACCCCAACCCCTGCCACTGCACAAGTAAGAGCTAGTACCAGGCACGTATTTCTTTGGCTTTAAGAACAGCAAATGTATGACAAAGTGCACCCCTTCAACATTCCCGCTGTTAACAAAATCATGTGACAAAAACCTCTTCAGAATGGTAGCTTTCCCTATGAACGATGTCCCCATATTTATGCCTTAATATGCCTTAAGCATTGCATTACATTTTATGTATTACAGGTTGAACATAGCAGTAGCATAAAAGGGACAGGAACTTCTATATAGGATTACAGCCACTTTATAATTTTACTAGTAGCTAATAATCCGGCATTGCCTGGGTATTTATTTATCCTAATCCTGTATTAGACAGGAAAAGCCCTGATTTCGGCGACAATTAAATCAGTTACAAATGTTTCCCCTGTGCCCACAGAAACCACACATCTGTCCTCAACAATAATCAAAGCATTGTTGAAAATGTCCAGACCAAACGTAATTTCTAATGTTGGATTTTCCCCCTTACCAGAGGGAGCCCCCTTGTGGAGTATTTTGAAGCCGTTACCATGGCAACTCCACTGTACTGTACAGTAGAAGCCATTTTAGAGCAGTACGGTAGAAACCATTTGAAGGCACAACAGGCTGTATCTTTCCCCACCCCGAAGGGTGTTAGGGGTATCTTACCCCACCCCTCCCCAGTATTTGTTTCCCGAGAATAATTTATCTGTGTACCAAGTTTGGTTGAAATTGCTCGAGGCATTATATAAATTTATTTATCAGCAAAAATGCAACACAAATGTAACAAGGCAACATAAAAAAAATGGCTTTCTGCCTGGATGGCTCCCAGAGTGAGCCGATAGACTGAAAAGGGAAGCAGTATGCTCCTTCCCATATGTGGGCATACCAAGGGTTGTGACACACACAATACATACCTATTTCCCTGGTTTAGCTGATAAAGGAGGAGAGCCTGTGGCTTAGTGGATAGATAGATAGATAGATAGATAGATAGATAGATAGATAGATAGATAGATAGATAGATAGATAGATAGATAGATAGATAGATAGATAGA